TTTTATTCTTATTTTTATTTTTTGCCTGTTTTTACACAGAAAAAGCTTTCTTATTCGTAAACTTAATGAATGTTTGATCATCAAATTAAATCGGTCAACGTTTTTGCGGTTCGCAGTTAAATGCAGTCAAACCAAATACTGCTTTAGCATTTCGAATGACACGAAAACAGTTTAATATTCCGAAACAATGTTTTGCATTTGCAACTCAACTAATATCGCCAACTATATAATTTGGTAACTCTGATGAAACACTTAGTTTTAGTCACTTTTCAACTGTTCTTAAATATAATTATTGTTTTTTTTTTTTAATTAATTAGTAAATCTTTTAGTGTACAATGCAATTTTCGCTCATCTTAGTTTTGAGTAACACTTTTTTATCGTTACTTTAAACAAAGTTTTGGTCACTCATCGTTAACAGTTTGCTTAATTTTTTAATTAAAAATACAAATACAGTAAAATTGTTATTAATATTGAAGCAGAAAAAAAATACCAGAAGCACAGTTGGTTGCTATAATTAATTCTGTGCAAAAATACGGTTTACTATCTTTTTCCGGAATTTCTACTTCTGATTTGCTGATGTAATCAGTAATTACACGGTAGAACTTTTTTTGTTAAATACCAATACTTCAATTAAACAATAACATTTATAGAATTTATTGTTCAACTTCTCTTTTTAAATTTATTTTTGATAATACCCATTCTTTTTTCTCTACTTCTTTTTTTGTTATTCATCAAATTTTATTCATCTTTTAACTATTTCAAGTTTACTCTGACGCTGTTGTCCCATAGTATTCATCGATGGAAAACAATTCTGTTTGGGTTACCAATGAGCTGTAGACGGAGAAAACAGAAATAGAAATAGAAAAATAACATTGAAATTAGTCTTTTTTGGTCAAATAAAACTGAAATATTTTCAGGTTTTTTTATTATTTGCATAAGTTGGTTTAATTTTTTCTTACTGTTTTCTTTTCTTTTCTTTCTTTTTCCTGTCGTTCAAAAGAATTTCTTTTTTAAGTCATCTGTCCACAGTGGGTTTGTGGTAGTCATCTAAATTCTAACTTTTTCTTTAATAAAGTAGCTTAATTGTAAATTGGAAAAAAAGAACAAAAAACAGTTATAATTAATAAATACAAATATGAATTTGAAAAGTCACTTCGACAAAAAGACGTTTGAAGATTAAAAAGCAAACTGCAGGCAGCATTTGTTGAACGGATATCAAAAGTTTTTTTTACAGAATAACTGTTCTCGAATAAATATTGTAAAAACAAAAAAAAAAAAAACCTGACCAAGTTTTTTTTTTATTATTTTAGCACAATAGGCAATTTATTTATTACATTTTTAATTGTTTTTCTGTTCGTTTATTTCTGCGTTTTTTTTTTTTTTTTTGTTTTTGTTTGTATTTACTATTCAAGATGTCGCCAATCTATTTATTCAACATTAATTTGTTTTTCTTGTTTTCCACTTTTTCTACTTGTTATTTGGGTTTTTTTCCTTTAATCTTCTATTTAAGTTGAACAAAAAAACAGCAACAACTGCAAAAACAAAAAAAAAAAAAAAAGAATTGAAACGATAAAAAGAAGACGGTGAACAAACTGACTGTTCACATCCTAATTATACAGTTTAAAGTAAGATTTAGTTTTTGCCTTTTGCTGTAACAAAAGAAGGGTAAGAAAGAAAAAAGTAAAAAAAAAAAAGAAGGTGAAGAAAAAAACAAAAAAAAAATCAAGCGAGGAAAAAAAACAGTTTTTTTTCTTAGAATTAATACGCATTTTACGCTCAATTTATTTTTGTCATTATTATCATTGTCAGAATAATCATTATCATCACTTTTTCAACTTTCACCTGTTGTTCATGATGTCGCTTTCATTTGTTCCTTATGCATCTGTATCTATCAGTTGCTGGCGAAATAGTTTTGCACATCTGTATTGGTTAACGTATCTGATTTGTTGTGTATCGCCCTGATTACAGTTATAACTAAGTATCACTGAAATTCTTTTTCATTTCTTTCTGCAACTCGTTTTTTTCTGTTTCTTTTTTTTTTTTTTTTAGGCAAATCGTCTCAGTTAGACAGTAAAAGAAAAGAAAAGTTGTTGGAGAAGCTGTTTGGAGCTACCGCCATCATTGATGGCTAAAGCAACTGGTTACTGTCGGGTATGCAGTTTCTTCTTGATGCTTTCTTCAATCTTCTACAGTTTTAAATTCTTCTTTTTTTTCTCTCTTTTTCCAACTCTGTGCGATATATGCGTACAAACTAAATAGTCATTGGTTTTCATATCTTTTTTTTAAAAGTTGTAATTGAAAGAAAAAATATATCCGAAAAACATTAAGGATTTAATTGAAAAAGAAAGGTCTCTTGTAAAACACAGTGGCAATAATATAAATTTGTGTCAATCAAAAACAACTCATAAAACAACAATCTGTGTTCTCGTTAAATGCTCGTTTAAGGAGGTTTTTAAAGAATAAAAAAGAAATTGATTCTGTGTAAAAAAGTTATTAATCTTGAATATTTTTTTAGCTAAGAGAATAATAAGCAAAAAAAAAGCCAATTTTTTTAGGGAGAGTTTTACCTTAATATTTCATATTAATTCTGTGCTATTTTAAGTGTTTTAAAACGACCTTAACATAACAACTGAGTTATAAAAAGCAGTTAATTATTTTATTAGTAAATTTATGTTTTTCTTTTCATTACTTTAAAGCTGACTACAGTGGTGAAACGTTGCTTTAACATCGGTTTATTTTTCAGGAGCTGATTGCTCTACTACTCTGTTTTGGAGTCACATACGCTACACTTCAAGGTACAGTGTTTTGCTTCAACAATAAAAATTGAACCAGTTTTCTTTTTGACTGTTTTGCTAATATCACTTAATAATTGTTTTTTTTCCTTTTTTCGTCATCTTCTTGACGCCTTGATAACCAATTTTTTCGGACTCGTCGGATAAACGATGAGATCAAAATAACGGTAACAGCGCTCAATTTTAGTACCTATTAACGGGTAGATGTACATCTTTATGCACTCTTTTTCAGTGAATTGCTCCCATGCACCTACTGACGTTATTGTTTTAATTGACATCACATCAGAAAATAATGATTTTTTCCACCAAAAGCAGCAAAGAATTGTGGAAACATTAAGGTAGGTAATTTGTTGCTTCTTCAGCATTATTTTATAGCGTATACTGTAAACAGTGCTAACCTCGTCTGCTAAGATCAGTCTAACGATCTATTTTTCAGCAGTACTGTGACTCTCAAACAATTTGCTCACTAAAAAACATGATTAGTGGCTTTTGCCTGGTTAAAAAAAATTTCTGCTTAATTATATTGTCAAAATTTGTTCGTTTTAGTAATTTATTTGATGCTTCCTCTTCTGTTCTCTTCAATAAGGAAAGAGAAAGAATCAGCATTAGCAACTATTTTTTTTTTGCATTTGTTCTTCGTAGATCAAATAATTACTAAAAAAAAGAGTTGAAAACTAGACAAAAAAAAATTTTTTAAATTGCTACTAACAAATGTAATGTTTTTTTTTGTGTCAACAATAATATATGAATGTTTTTAATTATAGCTTTAAATTTGCACACACCCAAAATGTCGTCTATTGCAAACAACAGCTATGCACAGTAAAATGAGATAAAAAAACAATTCCAATCATTTTTCTTCTTACCTCTTACCTCGGAATATATAAATAATATAATTCAAATTTTATTGCAAACTTTTCTCCTTCTTTTTTTTTCTTTGTTCTAAAAATAGAACTAAAAATTTAAATACATTAAAAATTTAAACGTATCATTAATAATATACCGTTTGCAACGAAGATGATTATTTTCAAAAAATTTGGATTTTCAAAAATTTTATAGACAAAAAAAAAGTGAATGAAAAAGAAAGACAAAACCAAAGAGAGAGCAAAAGAATAGATAAATAAATAAAATTTTTTACTAGGCCAGTTTTATTTGCAGTTGGATTAAAAGGTGCTTTGACGCCTTTTTAAGATGTGTTACACAAACCGCATTTTCTCTTCTTTTTTTTTTTTTTTTTCACTGTTTGATGTCGATTATCCAACAATAAAAAATGAAGAAATTTAGACCCAAAACAAGTTTATTAGATAAGCAAAAAGACAAAAAATAAAAAAGTAGTAAACGACAAGAGGTTGGTTTTTTTAGGTATATCAACGATAATTCTTTGTATCGCGATGTTGGATATGCTATTGTTGCATTTCATAAACGTCCTTTGGTACTGCTCCCGTTAACGTCACCGCTTAGCCGACATAACCAAAGAGTACGTTCCCTGTTGTCTGTCATTTTCTGATAAGTCACTGATAACACTGAGAAAGTTGAACAGTTACTGACAAATTCACTAAGCTAATTAACAGTTGTATACATAAAAAAAGTTCCTGTTTAATCAAGTTTTCAAAAAAAAAAAAAACGTTTTATGATGTACTCATTTAAGAGTCTATAAAATAATTTGAAAATTATACGAAGTTGAGAAAAAAATTTTTTTTTCACAACATTATTTACACTCAATTTATTTTAATCTGCTCAATTTAATAAAATTATTTCTTATAAAAACAGTTTTATCAGATTTTTTACGGTTTTTGTGCTCAACTTTCCTTCTTTTTTTTTTTCTCATTTTCTCCCTTCTTTAACTATACTTCTTGATCAGTCTCATTTAACAAACAGCGATTATCGTCTAATCTCAAAATAAAATGATTTTTACATTACTGATACAGTGAAAAACACTTGTTTACTTTTAAGTGAAATTTATTAAGAACTTTACTGTTGTGTACAATAATATCAAAATTAGCACTTTTTCTAATTTGATAATTTTAGTTTTTGACTTCCTTGTTTATTGCATAAAGACCAGGTTAGTTTTTTAGGTGATAGAATATGTACAGTCTTTAAAACCCAGACATAAATTTGAAACATCTCCAGCAGAAGCACTGTCATTAGCATCCCAACATTTTGACGCCTTTGGACGTCCAAATGCCTGTCGTTTAGTGGTTATTGCAGACGATGGCAACTCTACTGATCTTATTTCCGAAAGTATTCAAGCGAAGTAAGCTATCATTTTTATCTGATTTTTATGCCAACAAAAAAACAAAGTTTTCTACTTTTATTTTAAAAGAGTATTTATTTATGCCACAAGACTGAAAACCAAAAAAAGCGTAAAATAAGCACTAAATTTTGAAATAAAATCTTTTGCATTTGTTAAAATTTGCTTGTTATATAATTATTTATATCAGTAATCGTTTGTCAACAGCAGAATTTGTTTAAATACATTTGGCAGTGTTGTTAAAAACTATAAGCAATTAGCCATTTTCTTCTTGTATTAGCTGGTTGCAAAGCACAACTGTTACCAATTATGGCTGATACTGATAAGTTTATAAAATGTATGAAAACAAAGACCGGTGGAGCGTAGATTTTGGTTATTGAACAGTCGTGGTGAGTATCTCCAGAATTGAAACATCAAAAGAACAGCTCAGATGAGCAAAATTCCGGAATGATGAAAGGTCATTTTAGTGCCGAATGGGAAGAAAAGAGAATAAAGTCAAAAATAACTGGATTTACTGAGAAGTTGGAACATTTTCCGTATTCTTTTAGAAACCAGATAGTCATAAGTTTTTGTGAACACCTAATCGGCATTTTTCTGTCTGATACAGCGTAAGACAAAATAAAAGAATAAGGTTACTAATTGCATTAAAATTTGTCTGTATACAATAAAATTCAAAAAATTATTCAAACGTTTTTCTGTCAATTTTTTGTAACTGCTCGTCAAAATAACTTATCAGTTAAATAAAAAAGAATTGAAAATTAACAACAAGTTTTCGCTTTCAATGCTCTCATTTAGGTTCTGAAAAAAATAAGGTTTAATGATAAACTGTTGATTAGTGTTATTATTTCTGTGAAATAAACACAGTTGAAACAAACTCGTTGATAACTGCATTAAAAAAGTTTCTCAACATAGCTTTTTAATCGTCTAAAACGACGTCATGTGAAGTAGTGGAAGAAAAAAATAAGAAAAAAAATTTCAATTTGAACTAATAAGAAATTTCGCATTTAAAGTTTAAAAATACAGTGTTGCAAGAAAATCGACCTTTAAAAAAACTCCATTTTTATCTGCCTGTCAATATAAATTTTAAAAACTATCTTCCAGTTTTATTTTCAAAAAAAAATAAATAAATAAATAAATTTTTTACAAAACGAATATAATTTCAAAAAAATCTATTTTTATTCAAACGCCTATACATTGCTTTGAAAATTTATTTGTTTTTACACTTTTTTTTTGTTATTAAATTGGAAAAATTTTCTTAATTAGAAAAAATTTTTGTGATTACTTCACTACTGTGTTACTGTTTATCAACTGTTGCTCAGATTTTTGCAAAACACACAGTTATGAAAACTAACTTAAAGTGTTTTACGTTGCTCTCTGTACAGATTATTACTGAAGCTGATTTCTTCAAAAACATTGCTAAAATTACCTCATTGTTTTAGAGAACAAATTGTTACGCACAACGGTCAAATATTTGCCATTGCCACAGCAGATACCGCAGATATTGACTCGCTCGTTGGGTACACAGACAATCGTCGACGCATCTACTTTGATAGAGAAGATAAAGTTGACTTTTTCAATGAGCTCGGTCAGGTAACGTCTCCGTTTTTCTTTTATTCTTTACAAATAAAAATCTAAAAAATTCTTCTCATGCATCTTTTAACAGCGTTTTTTATATAAAATTTTATGTGTTTTTCTTATCTACATTTATTATATGCAATTTACTCAGATAATTTATAATTTATGATCATAAGAATTAAACTACTATAGGTTTTCATCGCTTTTTTATTTTTAAAAACATATGCCATGTCAAACTTGCATAACTTTAGCTGCCTATTGTTCTAAATAAGCCAAAAAATACCGTTGCGGGAAAAAATAAAAAAATGTTTTTGTTGAATACAAAAAAAAAGTACTGCAAATTGAGCTATTGTTCTCAATAAAATTAAGAAAAAAAGTAGAGCAGAAAAATTAGAGAGAAGATAGGTATAAGATGACATATAATATGATTAGCTGATCACATTTAGATAGTTGGATCATGCAACGAAACGGTCAATGAGACGGTTCCTAAGACGACATCAATTTCACCGTTCGCCTATGGCGTTCGATCGATGAGTACTGTAGACAACAGAACTTTTAATAGCAGTTTTTGCAAACATAATCTGGTATGCCTTTGTAACTGGCATTGTCTTTTTTATAAATACTTTAATTTTTTTTTATTTTAACCGTTATTTGTTCAGATTGATTTGGTGACTCTTCTTGATACAAGCGGTTCTGCACAAAATTCGTTTCTCCAGCAACGACAGTTTGCTTCTCAATTGATTTCTTCAATAGAACCAGCTGCGTTTACTGATGGGCGCCTTCAGGTTAATGCTGTCATAATATACTAAACTAATGCATGAATTTATTTGTTATAGTTGTGTTACAATTAAAAGTATTGCGAATGCAACTTTTAAAAAAATTATTTGTAATTTAATCTGTTGCAGTTTTTTATAACCCTAAACTGTAGAAAAAGTTACAACGATTTTTACTGTTGCCACTGCTGCTTTCAGATATCTGTAATCGATTTTGCTTCGTTACCAAAAGTGGCTATCCCAATAAAACCTTTCCAAGGACAACAAGAAGTTCTGGACAGAGTTGCTGGAATTGAATTTTCTGGAGGAAATGCTAAAATTTACGCAGCTATCGATCTTGGATTAAGTGAACTGAATAGACTTCGCCGGTCTAACGCAACCCAAGTAATTTTTTTGCTCATATTTTATATTTCTACTGCGGTGACTTTAAGATAAACCGCGCATTTTGAAAGTTACATTTTTTTAACTAAAAGACCGTTATTCATCCTTAAAATTATGAACTTTTTGTCCTAGTCAAGAAAGAACACTTAAAATAGTTTGACTTGTAAAAAAAGTACTTCAGGTTATCATACTACTATCAGACGGTCATGGCGAGGAGTACTGGAGTAGCGTCCAGGAAACCAGTAAACGACTTCGAGATGCAAAAGTTGAAACATTTGCTGTTACTTCAAGCGAGGACTATAATTTAGGTAACTTAGTGCCATATGCAGGAGATAAAAGTCGAGTTTTCGCCAATACGAAGCAAACCAAGTAAAAGCTTTTTCCTTCATTACATTTATTTACTTTCTAACAGTTTATTATTAGGCCCAGTTTCCCAGTAATTTTTCTGTAAATACAAGACAACTGTAAAAAAATAAAACTTTGTTGATTCATAATTAGTAAAATTTATTTTTGTTAAAAATTTTATTTTTTATAAACAACGTAGCACTTTATTTCTTAAAAGTTAAAGTTTTTTCTCCTCTGTTTTTTTACCTTACAACGCTTAGCAAATTGTAATTCAGCTTTATAAATACGATTACAACGCTGCTTAACAACTGCCTTAAATCTGACCTGAAAGGTCCACCTGGTTCAGTCACAACTCCAATCAAATTGCCAACTCTGCCACTTGTTGCTCCTGAACCGACTGAAGATGTTCGCTCAGAAAATATAATCATCAGTTCGACTCCCTCCACCGAATCACCAGGTTCATTGTGATTAATTCCTTACTTTATGTTACCAAAATTTTTACATGAAAATCCCATCGGCAAAAAAAATTTTTTATGCCGCAAAAGAAGTCATACTGAAATAACTGATACTGCAGATACCAGCACCACCAATGAAATTTCAACTACTGAACAAGTCTTAACCACAAGTGAGAGTACTACTGAGACTTTTGTTGGCACACCTGATTTAGCGGAAGAAATCGATGTATTCGGAATAATCGCTACCCAGGGTATTATCGCAAGCGAGGATTTTTCCACTTCCAGCGATAACTTGGCAAGTACGGAACAGCAAATGCCAACTTTTGCTGAAGAAACCAAAAAAACTGAGTCGCACACCACAGAAATAGTAGCTCGCGTCGAGAAAGGTAGTAATATGGCTTTAACAAATGTATTTTGAGCTGATTTTTCATTTTTGTAGCAGCCAACAAACAAAACAGACATTACTTTTAGCTTTTACAGAATTAAATAAACAAGCAACCGAAGCACCTGAACTTTGGACTGAAAAAGAAGGCAGTACGTCTGTAGAGAAAGAAAGTACAGCTAATGAAAGTTTAGAAGCTACTACTGCCATAACTGAAAAAACTAACAGTTCGACAGAAGACAATGTGAAAAAACCAACCACGGTATAACCAACTTTTCTTTATGAAAAAATTAACTTTTTTATCATATTTTATGCATAAAACTGAAATTTTAAAATGCAGTATAATAAAAAAGGACGGATAAACTGGACGGATAAACGGACAACAAAACATTTCTTTTTTTTTTTTTTTTTTTTTTTTTTTTTT